CATCTAGACAAGAGATTGGCAAACTTTTTCTATAAAGGGCCAGGTAGTAGATAATTTTAACTTTGTGTATGATAGAGTCTCTGGTGCACCTACTCACATCTGTCATTGCAGTGGAAAAACAGCTACCCACAGTCTCTAAGGGAGTGGGAATGACTGTGTTCCAATAACATTTTAATTACAAAACAGGCTGTGTCCGTGGAATATAGGATGCTGACGATTAGTCTGGATCTTACATGGTTTTTTTTAAATTTTCTAAAGACAGACTGGTCAAATGTTGTATTTGCCCTGTATCTGTTGTTACTCACCAACAAAATATATGTGCTTTTAACCTTCCCTCTGAAGATGAGAAACTTTAATTATCTGAAGGGTCTCCAATCCTTCCAATAGTATGGCTCACTGAATATTGATGACTGTGCAAATGACAAACAGGCTGACACTGGCCTTCCACCAAGACCCTCCAGAGAATACGAGGGTGACTCTTCCAAAAGCAATGTGAATCTTTTCATAGCTTTTGCTGGGCAAGTGAGTGCCAGCTCATTTTATGTGAAATGCATTTAGGCCTTTCCTCAGGCAAGTAACATTCCAAATTTCCAAATAAATGTTGGGAGTCACTTATAGCAAAAGGACCTCAAATAGCTGGCTTGCTTATTATTCAGGCAATGCAAATATGGTCACACATTTTTGCTAGTCTTGTGTCTCATAAGTCAGACAAACCATTACATAACAGTGACCAGGTTCTTTGGCTCCATAACAATTCCCCACTTTGACTGATAGAAAGAGGGTTCTACATTGGCCAGGCTCAATCTACTTTGATTAAGTCTATGAACCCAGTACTTTGGGAGGTCAAGCAGGAGGATTTCTTGAGGTCATGAGTTTGAGAACAACCTGGGCAACATAGTGAGACCTTGTCTCTACAAAAATAAAAAAAAAAAAAAGTAAAAAAAAAAATAAAGAAAGAAAGAAAAGAAAGAAGGAAGGCTTTACAAATTCCACAGCAAAAAAAAAAAAAAAAAAAAAAAAAAAAACAACTTAACAAAATTGGGATCAAAAAGTAAGAAAAGTCCAAATAAATCTATCAGCTGTTCATTATCTCAATTATTAAAGAAAAGGAAAACCAAAACAATAAGATGTCATCTCTTTAAAATTTTTTTCATAATTGGAATAAAATGAAATAAAGGTAATGGACAATATGGGTAAATGTTGGGTGACAAGGTCAATGCCATACGCTGTAAGTGGGCATTTAGGTCTTTCTGTAGGCCAAAGTGAAGAGGAAACAAGAGAATTGCAATTTGCATGCCCTTTTGGGAAGAGGATATTGGGAAACAAGACTGGAAGTATGGGATACTAGAGGTGGAAAGAGTAAAGCGATGACCGTCTTAAATCTTCAGCTGCCAACGATGGGTGTTGGCAAAGCTTGGGCATCCTTTTGTGACACAATTTCCTTAAGTCTAGCAGGCTTCAAGTCACCCAAAAGGCTGAAAAGAGAAGAGAACTCATCATGATTGTTGAGTCTGAGAATCTCCTTCTCCTAGATGCAGTTCTCTGTGGGTGTGCATAGACTACCCAATGCTCCAACGTTTCTGTTGAATGATGGCCAATTTTAATATTGGCTCCTGACTCTGGACAATTTGAAGTGATATTCTCAGGTGGAATACTCTTCCCTGACCCCAGTTCTTTATCCAGCCTCCTACGTCACAAAGAACTTGGTCATATTCCTTGGCAGGCAGAGAACATTTTGCAGTGGTTCTCAACCTCAGCTGCTATTCACATCACCTACAGAGCTTTAAACATCCCCACTCCCATGTTATAACCTGTACTAAGTTGAGCATGCACTGGTATATTGGGACAGATTTGTCTTTTGTGCCAACATTTTCTGTACTAAAGGTGTCAACACTTGCTTCTGCTCCTGATGACTAACATGAGTGACAGGCATAATTCTCAATCTTTGGGGCATATTCAGCCATTTTAGGGCATGTCTGGGAAAAACACAAGCCACAGACACACCTGTGGCTGTTTTTCCAAAGAAGTTTTCAAGAGGTTTAGTATTTATGTATTTCCTTAAAGGTGGGGAAGCATGGAGGAAAAGGGGCAGGTAGGTGGTTAGACAAATACTACATTTTGCATATGATATGGTGAATGTCTGAAGAGAAAAGGTTGTAAAGGAAGAGTCAATTATGCAGATGTCTCTGCCTAGGTAGACGAAAACGTCTTGACTTTGCACCTCGGAGGATAAGCTTGTAGTGGACATTATCAGTGTGGAGTCTTAGGAGCTAGACTTTGATGGATTGTAGACTGAAGTTATGATTGGCATGTCCTTGTTTCTGGGAGGCATGCAAACAATTTACTTGTGAATGACCTGTGGAGGCTGTCCTTCCCAAGTGCCTGAGGACTTTCACCCCTCAACAGGATCTGGTTGGTACCCAACGTAAAAGCTATTCATTTGGAAGAGGGTGCTGCAATGGCCTTCCCTTTCATGTAAGATGTTTGAGAGAGAGGGTCCTGAGATTTATAAAATTTTTCTTTACATTATTTTTATTAAAAAAATTTTTTTAAATGCCAACTATACCGAAAGCACTATTCTATGTGCTGGAGAAATAGGAGAGAATAAAATACAGTCCTTGTCATAAGGTCACTCATTCCACCGGGAAAAATCAGACATTTGAAAACAAATGAATAGATGTATTAGTCAGTTCTCACACTGCTATAAGGAAATACCCAAGCCTGGGTAATTTATAATGGAAAGAGGTTTAATTGACTCACAGTTTTGCAGGAATGGGGAAGCCCCAGGAAAATTACAATCATGGCAGAAGGGGAAACAAACACATCCTTCTTCACATGGCGGCAGCAAGAAGTGCCAATCAAAAGGGGGAAAAGCCCCTTATAAAACCTTCAGATCTTGTGAGAACTCACTGTCATGAGAACAGCATGGAGTTTTCTGTACCCAAGATTCAATTACCTCCCACAGGGTCCCTCCCATGACATGTGAGGATTATGGGAACTACAATTCAAGAAAAGATTTAGGAGGGGACACAGCCAAACCATATCAACAGATATACTGTCTATCTGGAGATGACAGAAAAATGACATAGGGTAAAATGACATAGTTAGACAGTGATGGGGAATAAGTTGCTATTTTAGAAAAAGGACCCAAGAAAGATCTTTTGAATTAGATGACATTTAAATAGAGACCTAAAACAAATCGGGACACAATTTATCACTCATGTCCAATGGGGGAACCATGCAGATATCTGGGAAATGGCACCCCAGGTAGAATTAGAAAGTGCAAATGCATAAAACAGGAGCCTATATATAGTTAATGACTTTACAAAAGACCATGGGAGATTTTATGGCTGGACTAGAATGAGCAACATAAGGAATTGGGGATAAGACCAGGAAGGTAATAGGATTCCATGTCAAGTAGGGCCTTTAGGCCATTGTTAACAGTTTAACTTTTATTTTGAGCAAGATGGGAAACCATTCAAGAGATTTAGGCAGAGCAGTGACACGATCCCATGACCTACATTTGCAGAGAACCTACCTGGTTGCTGAGTTGTGAATAGGCTGCCGGTTGGCAGGTTGCCTGCAAGACCTGGGGGAGAAGTGATGAAGACTTGGACCAGGTTGGGATGGAGAAGATGGGGAGAAAGTGTGAGGGTTTGGATTGGTTTTGACCCTGGCTGAAGAATGTGTAAGGAAGAAATGAGATGTGGATGACTCCATCTATTTTTGGCCTCAGTAGCTTGAAGAATAGAGTAGCTGCTTTCTAATTCCGGAAAGACTGAGAAGAACAGATGGGGCAGAACAGAAGGGGGTGCGGGAGGGGGCATCTATTGCACAAACTGTAGCTTGGGGTCGATAGAGACTTTGGATCTTTCAAGATACTTTGAATTATATTCTATAGGCATAAAGGGCTTCTCTTACAAAATCTGTATTTCCCACCTCTCTGATTTTACATGGCCCAATATTAGGAAAATCCTATCTCTTGCTTTTAGACTTACTGAGAACTTTAGGAAGTAGCTAATTCACTCCAACACCCTACATTTTTCCTCCCAGCTGCCCTAAACCTTGATAGGCACAGGAACTGCATCCCAAGAAATAACTGGTGATTTTTTTTTTTTTTTTTTTTGAGACAGAGTTTCGCTCTTGTTGCCCAAGCTAAAGTGCAATGGCGCAATCTCGGCTCACGGTAACCTCCACCTCCCAGGTTGAAGTGATTCTCCTGCCTCAGCTTCCTGAGTAGCTGGGATTACAGGTGCCCTCCATCACGCCTGGCTAATTTTTTGTATTTTTAGTAGAGACGGGGTTTCACCATGTTGGCCAGGCTGGTCTTGAACTCTGACCTCAGGTGATCCACCCACCTCAGCCTCCCAAAGTGCTGCATTTGCAGGCGTGAGCCACCGCTCCTGGCCACTGGTGATAACTTAACTAGTGTTTTGTAACTACTTATTAATAATAAGCAACTTAACATCCCGGAATAGTGGAGTTCTCATTGTTTCTGTCTATCATTGGTTCAACCAATCCAACATTTTAGATGTGTGAATTATGGTATACCACTTCTTGAGACATTATTCCTTTGTTAGACAATTTTGGATGGCAAGAAACATGGAAAAACATTACTCAAACTTGCTTAAAAAAGAGCTATGTGTGTTGGTGAATGTAGCTGAAATTCAGATGTAGGACAATTTTCAGGGTTGGTTTAACCAGCAATTCCTCCTCAATTTTTTCTGAGATTCCTTTGGTCTTGCCTTTTGCAGGGAGTTGGCTGCATTTTCAGCCTACTCCCTTTCATAGTGTCAAAGTGGCTGTTGTGTACAAGCCATCACACCCACACACCACTGTGTTCATAGAAGAGAAATGCTCCTACCTAAGCATGATCAGCTACAGTCCCAATATTAGCTCGAATTGGACCACTTGGGTCACATGTCCTCCATGTGCTGATTGGATTAAGCCAACTGGGTGCAGCATAGCTGTAGGGGTAGGTTCAGCCTCCATCGAGGTATATGGCCAATGTGGATAAGTGGTGGATACTAAATGAAAACATGGGTGACATTAAGAAAGAAGATTAAATGGATCATGGATTGGCAACCTACAATGTCAATTCATATTAAACACACACATAAACACACACACACAATTTGTCTGCTTTCATCTCTAAACAAATGATATGGTTTGGCTGCATCCCCACCAAATCTCACCTTGAATTGTAATCATCCCCCCATGTCAAGGGCAGGGCCAGGTGGACATCATTGAATCATGGGGGTGGTTTCCCCATATTGTTCTCATGGTAGTGAGTAAGTCTCATGAGATCAGATGGTTTTATAAATGGGAGTTCTCTGCACAAACTCTCTTGCCTGCTGCCATGTAAGACATGACTTTGCTCCTCATTTGATTTCTGCCATTATTTTGAGACCCCTCCAGTCATGTGGAACTGTGAGTCCATTAAACCTCTTTCCTTTATAAATTACCCAGTCTCATGTATGTCTTTATTAGCAGGATAAGAACAGACTAATACAATAATCACATCCATCCATAAATATTTACAAATATAGGATAAAGAAAATGTGGCATATATACAGAATTGAATACTATTCAGCCATAAAAATAATGAAACCTTGTCTTTTGCATTAACATGGATGGAAACAGGGTCATGGAGGTTATTGTCTGAAGTGAAACAAGCCAGACACAGAAAGACAAATAGCACATGTTCTCACTCATAAGTGGGTGCTAAAAAATGGGTACACATGAATGTAGAGAGGAGAATGATGAACAGCGGAGACTTGGAAGGGTGAGTGGGTGGAATGGAGATGAATGATGATAAATTACTTAGCGGGTACAATGTTCATTACTCAGGTGACAGATACCCAAAAAGTTCTGACTTGACCATTATACAATCTATGCATGTAATTGCACTTGTATCCCAACATTACATGCATAACTCTGCCCTCCCCCAAGAAACAAATATGCATTAGTTGTTGCAATAGGCAGCATCTATGAGGGTCTCCAAATTATTTTCCCCTGTGATATTTATACCCTCATGCAGCTCCTTCCCTCCAGCCTGGGTTGCACCAAGTAAGTGACTTCTAATAGAATACAGCAAAATAATGGGCCACTATTACCGAGATTAGAATTTAATCTTGTGTGTCAACTCTCACCTGCTTCCTCTGAGGGACACCATTTGCAACCACTGGAGATGTCCTACAATAAAGACCACATATAAAAGAGCTACCGTCTCTGGGCAACAGCTAGCAAAGAACTGAGACTAGCAAAAAGCAACATCAGTGCACCTGGAAGCAGATTCTTACCAAGTCAAGTTTTCACACAAAACCTCAGACCCAGATGACATTTAATTGCAACTCTATAGGAGTCCCTATGCCAGAGGACTCAGCTCATCTGCTCCTGGATTCCTGAGACACAGAACCTGTGATGTCAATAATTACGTTGCTAAGTTTTGGGAGGATATTTTAATGCAGCAATAGATGACAAATACAAATATAATATCTCAAAACTGGAAACATTTTAATATTTAACACTACGGGCTTGATCAGCCAACTTAACCTAGATCTATCGTTTAAGAAAGATGAGTCAGTGGCTCACACCTGTAATCCCAGCACTTTGTGAGGCTGAGGCAGGCTGATTAACTGAGGCCAGGAATTCAAGACCAGCCTGGCAAACGTGGCAAAACCCCATGTGTGCCAAAACAATACAAAATTTAGCCAGGTGTGGTGGTGCAGCCTCCCAGCTACTTGGGAGGCTGAGGCAGGAGAATCGCATGAACCTGGGAGACAGAAGTTGCACTGAGCCAAGATTGCACCACTGCATGAGACTCTGTCAAAAAAAAAAAAAAAAGAAAGAAAGAAAAAGAAAAAAGAGATGAGTTAGACCCCTTGGTCCCATCCACTTACTCACTGAGCATGTCACTGTGGCCAAGAAATTTAGCCTTCTATGATATCTCCAATTCTTTAAAAGTTACACTACCTGTATCATTAAGATTATTGTGAAGACTAAATGACACAATCCATTACTCAATAACGTGCTTGGCAGAGAATAAATAATCAAAGTAAGGTTTCATTTTTTTTTAAATTACTGTGTACCTATTATAAATCATACTCCTGCAGAACATTCATAAATATGGGAAATGCTCACAATATATTGTGTAAACTTTAAAAAATGTGAATGCAAAGGCCAAAAAGCTAGGGGATTTTTATGTTAAAACGTAAGCGGACTAATATTGATTGTGGTGATGGCAGCACAACTCTGTGAATTCACTAAAAACCACTAAATATGGACTTTATGCAGGTGAATTTTATGGTGTGGGAATTATATCTCAATAAAACTGTCAAAAATGTACACAGTGTTTTTGTTTTCTGTTGTAGAACTTTGTTTGCATCCTTATACATTTTGACATTCTCTATTGTGACCATATTTTTGTTTGTTTGAGACAGTGTGTTACGCTGTTGTCCAGACTGGAGTGCAGTGGCATGATCTCGACTCACTGCAACTTCAACTGCACAGGCTTAGGTGATTCTCCCGCCTCAGCTTCCCAAGTCGCTGGGACCACAGGTGTATGCCACCATACCGGGCTGATTTTTGTATATTTAGTAGAGATGGGATTTTTCCATGTTGCCTAGGCTGGTCTTGAACTCCTGGGCTCAAGCAATCTGCCCACCTCGGCCTCCCAAAGTGCTGGGATTACAGGCGTGAACCATCACGCCCAGCCAGCCACCACACTTAGCCTCGTTTTTAATAATCGGAAAGTCTTATTAAAAATCAAATGAGTTTAATTTAAAAATATATGCAGTAAACAACTGTCTAGTAGACATGCTAGTCCATCTTCCATTTTGAAACTTTATCTCTAACTATACACAGTTTTATATGAATTTAACATTCCTGGAAGCTAAGCAAACAAAATTGTTTTGTCTTATTTTTGTTAGTCTATTAAATAGGATAGGTCGACAGACTTGAGGACAGTTGGAGAGAGGTCTCTGCTCTTTGCTGTGCTAGCTTCCAACACTTGGCAGTTTGCATCACCAAAGTATTCAAGGCAAAAAGGCAGTAGAGGTTGCCTGCTACTAAGATGGTGGCCACATACCTTTCTGACCGAATCATGGAAGTGACATCTCATCATTTTTGTAGTATTCCATTTATCAGAAACAAGTCATTAGGTCCCATCCACACACGAAGAGGGAATTATAACAAGGGCATGGCTATTCAGGAGGTGGAGTTATTAGGAACTCTCTCAGAAGCAGGTGAGCCCATAAACCTGGAACATGAAAATGAAAAGGTACTCAAAGAGATAATGAATCCCAGGCCTTGAACAGACTTCTGGGTAGAGAATAATCAATCAATCAATAAAGCATATTGAACTTATATCAGTTGTGTTTTTTAGTAGTTCTTTCTCAGTGTTTCAGGGTAGGTTATATGCAAAGTTATTTTTTAAATACTGCAAAATGATTTCCACTGCTTTTCTTTTCCTTTCACATGGTATAACACTCCTCATGCCAATCGGATTTACTTATGCCCCTTATAAAGTTTTGGCTGTAATAGAATAACAAAAGTAAGACAAAACAATTTTGTTTGTTTGCTTAGCTTCCAGGAATGTTAAATTCATATAAAACTGTGTATAGTTAGAGATAAAGTTTCATAATGGAAGATGGACTAGCATGTGTACTATACAGTTGTTTACTGCATGTATTTTTAAATTAAACTCATTCGATTTTTAATAAGACTTTCTGATTTTTAAAAAAATGGCCAGGTATGGTGGTTGGCTGGGTGTAGTGGCTCACGCCCACCAACCTATAAGAAATCAAATCCTGCCAGCACCCGCATGAGCTGAAAGTGGATTCTTTCCCTGTTAAGCCTTAACAGGATTATGGTCAGAGAACCTTGCTAAACTGTGCCCAGATTCCTGACCATAGATCCTGTGAGATGACGCACGTGTGTTGATCTAAGCCACTATCTTTTGGAATAATTTGTTCTGCAATAATCAATAACTAATATAGTCTATTACCGTGTTTACCAAATGGGAAAGACATCATGTTGGGACAACCAAAGGGAGTGCTATTTTTATATAAGTGGGAAAAATTCTTCAATTTCTTATGCAAAGAGGTGTTCTCACCAGGAAATACAGTATTTCAACAAGTTGTCAGATTTGGATAAATGGGTGGTTGATAGGAACTGAGGTTGGAGCTCTATTTTGAAAGCAAACTCAGCTTACTTTCTTACAAAATGTCTCAAGGCATCTGTGTCTGACAGAATCCTAGCCTCAGGCTGTCATTTTTGCCACCACCATCACCCACCCAAGTCCATGCCCCTCGTTGTTATGGTAAGAATCAAAGCTTACAAGTCTTGGTTTCCACACGGGAACTTTTCACTATGTAATTCTGAATGCTTCTTTCTTAATTTGTCGGGATTTCATGGGGTAATTTGAAGCCTGTGTATAGGCTATGTTATGTACACACTATTAAGATAAGACTGTTTTTGTCTCTGAGTGGATTCTCCATGGGGTTTCAATAGCAATGATGCCTTTTGGATAATAACGGGTTTACATCTGTGCACTTTCCATTATGCAATGAGATAAATGGCCAATTACCCCAGCTGTACACTGTGTGAGCTGCGTAGTTAGAAAGTCTCAAGTCATCACTCTGACCACAGCAAATGTACATATATGGAACAAACGTTTTCTGGGAAAATATTGTTATCCTCACATAATTCCTCAGAAAGTAAAGCTGGACTTGAATTTTGCTATGTGTCCAAAACATTATTGTTAAGACATAAGCTTTTTTTCCCTCTGTAGATTTTTATTCTCAAGGAGTAAAAGATGTTTCTTCCAGCTAACCCCAACATTTATTCAGGATTTTTTGTATGTAAAATGTAGAGTACTTTATAGTTCACAAAATGTGTTTCCACATGTTTTCTCCCACAAACGTGATACATGCGGGAAGTATATTATGTATCTACTCTTTAGAAAAGAGTAATGGAAACAGTTTTCAAGGAAGTGGTCAGTGTCAGTTATATAGATGTAAAACAGCAGGCAGCCAGACTTCAGCGAGAATATTCCAGCCTTAAATTGCACATGGTTCCCACGATATTCCCCCATCTCTGCTGTCTGAATTGGGTATTATATAATAAAATAATGCTTTTTAGCTGAACGAGCAGAAATGGATTCATTTAGAGGAGCAGAACATTTCAATTCCCTAGCAACGCTTCTCCCTGGTAATGCCCACCTCAGAACTTGAGGCATAAACATGTCGACCAGCCATTTATTATTGTTTGCTTGTTTCATTGCTCATCTCTTTCAATGCTATTAAACCAGTGTTTTGCTTCATCAATGTAAAAAAGATGCATATTTGCATTCTACATGGTTCCAATTGGCTTAATATTTACAGTAAAAGTGTTTACTCCCCCTAATTATTACATAAAAACATTAGGCTACAGATTTAAATATCTTTTGCTTAAAAATATTTTAAGTATTCTCACACTTCTACGCCTCAAAAACTCTTACCATGCTAAAATTGTGGGAATTTTTAAGACTCCAAATCTTAAGTGGCATTTTTACTTCAAAAGTGTAAAGTTAGCTATTAGTAATTTTTAAGACAATTGAATTCCCAGATTCCATTCAGAATACTACCTCTGTATTTTTCAGTCTTCAAAGAGACTTAGTTTATAGATAAATGCAATTTTTTCTGTGTATAAATTTAAATGTAGCTAATAAAAATTAGTTATGTCTAATTTCTTGACATACATAACTTCTAAGGAAAAGGTAAAACACAAAAATAGCACAATTTTCTACACAACATTTTAACAAGGTGTCCAGTCGATAGTTTACTTTGACCTAATATAACACAATGTTTTCAAATACCATGACTAAAAGTATATAAAGTTGTCATAGGTTATTATGTAGATTTTCAGTTGTCAAAGCCACGTTAATATCGTATGCCTATGAGAGAAAAATGAGGTTGTCTTATGTTGATCATATATAAATGAGAACTAGTTAAAAATACTAGATGAATTCAAAGTGAAATAAAAAACATAATATGAATTTCTCTTCTACATAAATCATCATTGAAAATCTAGTCAAAGAGGCAGTCTAGAGTTGCCATGGACACATAGCTATTTTTATAATGAAGATAAAACCAACATCATTGCTTTATAATGATGTTTTGTGAATGTTTTGAATATTACTGAATTATCCACTCTTCTAAGACAGTGAAGTTATTAACTAAAGGTGACCAATTAGAGAAGAGTAAGAACAGTTCAAAAAGAGGCTTTATTTGGATTAACGAAGATGGGGAAAATCTTTTTCTGGAAATTATACAATCTCTGAAGCTTGAGTGAGTTGATCTATAATATTTCATTCAAGTATATATACTCCAAACCTTGCAGCATTAAACCCAAATAATGACAAAAACAGAAAGGAGGAGTGAACTCAAAATTTCCACAGTTCAGTTGAGATCTTTCTTTAATTATTTAGATAGGTAACCGCAATGATTGCACCCACAAAGACTGCACCTTTTCCCCCAAATAATTTAAATGTCCTTGTTCATGAGCAGCTAATAAATTAAGTTAGCTACAAGTAGTTATAAATTAAGTAATTTGTTCACAAAGATATTGGAGGTCCCATCATCAGGCAGACTTTGTGCAGGAAGGGCACATCATAGACAGTTGCAGAACTCAAATGTTAAAAGCAAACAGTATTGCTTAGTTCTGAGATTTTGAGAAAGCCACATCTCCTCTCTAAAACTCAAAGTACTCAACTGTAAAATGAGAAAAACAAAGACAGGAACTCCCATGATAGGGATGTTATGGATAAATAAGTTAATTACATGTAAAACTTTTAGTGTAGTGGCTGGCACATAAGTCTTCAATAATGAGCGTTGGTATTATTATTGTGTACTTACGATAAGATTGGCCAATGAACAGCGATGTTATGTGAAGTATATGCTGCTTAAATATGCTGCTTTCTCTTGCTAGAAAAGGAAGGAGTAAGCAGAAATTGCTATGGGCAGAGGATGCCATGTCTGGAAATATGCTTGGAGGTTGGGCATATAAAGAGGTTACTAAATAAAGGGGACACTTTTTGCTATTTCCTGGAGACAAAGTGTGTGTGTGTGTATGCGTGTGTGTGTGTATGCGTGTGTGTGTGTGTGTGTGTGTGTGTCTGTGTCTGTGTGTGTGTGTGCAATTAGGAAGAAAGGCAATCAAAGTCAGTTTCCTATAATCAGATCAAATTGGAGTGATTGGGGGAGACACAGAGACCAGAAGAGTTAACTAGCATTGATGTCAAAAATCAATTTTTGCAGAGACATAAGAAGAACTTTCGGAGCTTCTAAGGCAGGACTTAGTGCTTGGTTGTCACCAGGTGTGGATGAATAATTGAAATGGTGTTGAAACCACCTTTGCAAAATTATAACTGAGAAAATTATGAAAGTGAAAGAGATCAGACCTAACCAACTCCATCTTGCTTCTGACCTTTAAGCTGTCCTTCTTCATTCCTAGGCATAGGCTGAACTAACTTTGGGAAGGAATTCAGTTCATGGTTTGACTCTGAAACAAAATTGATAATAGCCCTTTCCCGAAAAGGCCCCCTTGTTGCCTGGGGACCAGACTGCCTTTGCAGGACTAATAAATTAGCTACAAGATTAGAAATGACAGTTTAGGGGGCGTGCAGCCTCTTTCAGGAACAGAAGACAGCAAGAAAATTCACTTTGACCCCCTGTGATTCCACCTCCAACCTGACCAATCAGCATTCCCCACTTCCCAAGCCCCTACCCACCAAATTATCTTTAAAAGCTCTGATACCTGAATGCTCGAGGAGACTGATTTGAGTAATAAATAAAACTCTGGTCTCCTGCACAGCCAACTCTGTGTGAATTAGTCCTTTTCCATTGCAATTACCCTGTGTTGAGAAATCAGCTCTGTCTAGGCAGCAGGCAAAGTAAACCTACTGGGCAGTTACAGTGTGAAGCCTGGAGATTGGAGTTTGTCTTTCATTGTTTGGAGAGAGCTATTCAGACGCCATGCACAAATGTGATGGAGCCTCCACTCATGTTCAGATACCGGATCTTCAGTGGAAAGAGGAGACTCACAGCCAGGCTTTGACCTAACACAATGAAGAGCTCCTCACATAGGGTGGTGGAAAATCACAGTAAAACAAAATCAATTAGCTTGAAGATGACTAGCTCAGCACAAAAACAACAAGATAGTATTAA